GCCCGGGTGCGTGGTCCCGGCGGCTCAGAATGCCCGCCCTCCATTGCCGGCCGCTGGCGGGAACGGCCAGAGAAATTGCTTTGGGACAAAAGCCCCCTCCCTCGAGTGGCAGGGTGTGCGCCGCGCCGCCCTGGGTCCCTTCTGGTTTAGAGCCGGGCGCGTGCTCGCTCCGCGGACCCCGGAGCCCAGGACCCTCCCCCGGGGGGCGGACCCACGTGGCGTCTGCCTTCGTTTTGTTTTGTTTGTCTTCCTGGAAGAAATCCGGAGGGGACCGCCCTCGAGCGGCAGCTCGGGGACCTTGGCCCTGGGGCTTCGGGGCGCGCACCGAGGACCCCTCCCGGGGACGCAGGCATGTTTTTAAGGTTTCCTCCTCCGGCTTGCGCGGGGGCTCCCCGGTTCCCCTCAACCCCAACGGGAGAGCCCGGACCCAGATCGGTTCCGAGAGCCGTCCCGCGGACCGGCCGCTCTGCGCGCGGCAAACGGTAATGTAAAGACTGGGCAGGACCGGAGCCTCTGGGTAAAAGGACAGTCCCCCGGCGGCTGGCGAGGTGCCTGGCCAACTGGAAAGCCCTGCTCGAAGGGCTGTTGCCTCCCGGGGCCTGCGCTGCCTCCTGTGGTTGGACCTGGTGCGCGGAGGGGACGACCCAGCGCGGGGCCCACCGACCCCCTGCGCCTGAGACGGACAGGGCCTGGCCCTGGGTCCCAGGTGGAGGCCCTGGGTCCCAGGTGGAGGCCCTGGGTCTCAGGTGGAGGCCCTGGGTCCCAGGTGGAGGCCCTGGGTCTCAGGTGGAGGCCCTGGGTCCCAGGCGGGACTTGTCTCCTCAGCAACAGGCCGGGAGCAGCCAGGAGATGGTCCCGGGTCTTCTTGGGAACAGAGGGCCGCCTCCGGCAGCCGCAGGCTGAAATGCTCAGGTGGCAGCCTCTCCCGGCGCCTTCGTCGTCCTGGCAGAATGTCTTTGCGGTTTTCACTGGTCCATAGTCTAACAGCGTATTTCCGTGTATGTGCCAAGCTGAGGCCCTCGGCGCACAGCTCCTCTCTTTCTCTTTGCCTTCTGATGGGAAAGGCTTTCACAGTGAGCGCAGAAAAAAACTGGGCAGTGTCTGCTCCCGCACCCACGGGCCGGTGCAGGCTGGGCCAGGAAACCCGCGAATGCCTCCTGCAGCCCCGGGCGGCCTGGGCTGTGGAAGGGCAAAGCGCACTGCAGGGAAACATTGGGAAGCACACTTAGATTATCTTTATTAATGCCTGAATTGATTAGGGGTTGGATAATTTGGTTCCTACCAGAGCTGTTCATTTTATTTTGCAGCTAATGGGCCTTGTTTCACGTGTGGTGGTGGGTGTCGGGTATAGGTGGTCAGACATTAAGCCAGTCATCCAGTTGTTGATGTCAGCCATCCTGGAGGGACAGTAAAAGCAGCAGGATATTTTCAGAAGTTATATGATCCTTCCTGGTCAAAGGCTATCTAATTCTACCAATTAATTGCGTTTAAAATTTTGCTTTTTCTGTTTCTGTCTCTTTGAAGGGCAGTTGGTTGGTTACTGGTTTTGTTGCAGGTGGTTAATAACTAACACCACAGGCGAGAAGTCATAGTGACGCGCAAACTTTACTGAGCAGCAGCAAAGTGCTGCCAAGCTTTGCTAAAGCAAAAACCCAAATCACTACATTTTCTGCTCTTTTTTACCCCAAATTTCCATTGGGGTAAACTTAAAAAAATTTTTTTATATGTTTTTATTGATTTCAGGGAGAGGGGAGATAGAAACATCAGTGCTGAGAGAGTCATCGATCAGCTGCCTTCCACACACCCCCTACATTTACTGAAAGTGAATTTTATTTAAAATCCTGTGAGGGATTTGTAGGGACAGATGAGAAGTTGCAGCTTTTCAGATTTTATTATAGTACACATCTCCTTTCAAATCCTCCTCCTTCATAAATCCTTGGATTAGGGTTTTGGACCCCCCACCCTCACCTTGGCCATTAGAGAAAGACAAAAAGAGAATTTTCTTACCCTAGTAGAAGCCA